CGTTAGATTCAGTGTTGTCTCATGTTTTAAACACAAATAACATGTGATTTTCTTAAACATGACGCGGTTAATATACTAATTTATACAACATACAAGATTTTATTTATGCTGCTTCAACACGGAATTATGGAAAATAGATTCAGAGCAGATTTAGTAAACACTTCGTTTACAAATTCACATCTTTGTGAGTACTCCTAATGAGAGCAAGGCTTCTTGAGCAATAAGCTTTCTTTGCTCAAGAAGCTTGAGTCCTATGATCAAGTACACTACATAACAAAAAACAATAATACTCACCCCACCAGCAGAGTATGCAGCTGAGCCGAAAGCAACAACAATAGTTGACGCAATCAGGTAGAGAAATGCAATAACCCCGTAGACAATCATCTCTATTACAAGCCACTTGAACTTGTGATACTTCTCCACTATATGGAACAAGTACAGCAAAAGAAGGATCCCCGAGAACCAGAGTCCAATGTGAGCTACTATATTGAAGTACACTCCTCTACCATTGTTCCAAAATGCTGATGATTGTATGCAGATGAAGCCAAGAAGATTTAAAACCTGGGAACAATTTAATAAATATTTGTTGGTTACCGACTGATTAATTTAGTTAATAAATAAATTTGTGCATGACAAATATTTAACACATTCAATGCCACAGATTTGCAACCTGAGTTCATACAGAAATCATAGTGGCATTAATGTTTAAAAAAAGAATTGACTTACAATGACTACAATTTTCATTATACCAGGAGGTGTCTTGATATATGAAGAGTCAAACCTTGTTTCTGTTAGGAAAACTGTATTAGTTGAACCCATTGTTTGTGGGGGGCTGTTTGTTTGATTGGGATATGCTGCCATTATGCTACCTGAAACAATAATTTACACTTGACATTGGCCCAATCCAATGAGGGAGAGTCATAAACAAGAAACAGAACAGAACAATGATATTCTAAAGATTGTTGGTTATAAATGAAGTGTAAATAAATTAACGGAATTATCTAAAAATAGTCATTTTCATAATTTCATTTAATTTTATGATTTAAAAAAATAATGTGAATTAAATAACGGAGTCATAAAAATAGCGAAAACAATATTTGTTAATATACTTACGTAATAAAACTAACACAATTTTCGGTGGAGCCCCAAATATTTTATGTATCGACGATATCTCACAACCGTTACATGGAGATAACTGAGGATGCCAGATAACACATTTTAGCTAACGTCTCTCCTTGACACTAAATTATGAACACATCAAGTACGCATTTAAGTGCTAAATGCAACAATGACTCATATTTTTGAATAACAAATCGTGTGGTAGCTTCGTTTATGTACCAATTCCATTGTACAGTGATAATCACATTTTACCGGTTTTCACTTAATTGGCATTTTATTATTGAAAAAAAATTTTATCCCCCATTTACCTATCATAACGTAGGTATGTATAAAATTAATAATAAACTGATCGCTTAATTACGTCTGTAAAGTCTTTGATTTTTTTCTTGAATAAGTTGAAGTTGAAAGTTGATAAACAAAGCAAACTGTCAATACGTATATGTCATTTTTACATTATAGTTAAAGAAGATAAGAAACGAAACCATTTAATTCCTACCTAAAAATAAATTCGATGTAATACAAACACTCATATTTTATTAATTAACAAATTAAACCTTGAAATAATCATTAAACTTTTGTTTTTAGTGCAATCACCACTATTTCTTCGGATGTCCTAAAAGCACTTTGCGTAGCTTGGAACTGAAAGCTTCGTTCAAAAACCATGTTTGTTATCTCTTCATTTTAAACTTTTAAAAAGGACTATTTTATTTTAGGATGTTTCTCAACTTAAAACAAAGAATATAGAAATTGTACATATTTTGAAATTCATTATTATGAGTCTCAGTATATTGTAGAAGTTTTGCAGAACAAAATAAATAACAAGATAATGTGATTAGACGTCTCTGATCTCTGATTTAAATTGATTTTATTTGTCATTTCAAAGTGGGTGGATGTGTATTGTCAACTTACTTTGGGTAATAAATGTTTATAGTTTTTTTTAATTGAAATAAACACTGTTTAATTACGAATAGCACTTAAATGTTTTTGTTTTCTGAACATAAATAAGCGGTAAAAGTGTACCAGTTTAACAGAGTTGTGTAAGTAGTTTAGTCACAACACATAAAACCAAGTTATATCCTATTGCTCAATAGATGCTATTTTAGAATATGACTAACAATTTCCCTGGTCCTACTATATTCGTTATTGATTATTTTTAAAAATTGTAGGGTCGCGTAGAGTATAAGAAATTTATAAAATTAGTGGTTTATAATGAAATCAATAAGTATAATTTTAGCATTTGAGAAAGTATATATTGATTTATAAAGAGTTTCTTGTGGTTAGTTTGATATTTATTAAATATTATACACCTCATAATTAATTAAATGTGTAAACTTACCGTCATAATGTTGAATTAGCTTCACCTGTGACATGTTAATTTAAAGGACAGGTTAACACATAAGATCTATTTGCATACAGTTAGTCAACATAACCTTAAAGAGTAGAAATTCTTTTGCCTTATATAAGCTTCTAAACTTTCACAGTATATATTTGTTGTTTAACTTTCACATGTATTAGGGTTACAAACACCAATTAGTGTTTGTACTTATGTATTATATTACTACATCATCATCATTATCTCCCTGTCCTTATAACACTATTGTGGGGCTGGCGCACAAGGTTTTATATAACTTAATGTTTAATAGGGCAGCCTGCCGGTCGCCAATTCTACTTAGGAGGAATAAATTAAAATGAAATATTTGTTTATGTTACTATTTATTTAAAATTCAATTAATGTAATTAGATGATGAGGAAACTTTTTGTCTATAAAATGAGTTATATTTAATATTTTTTAGTGATACGCCCACCTAATATTGGCAAGGACCTATTATTGGCTATATGTTTACTAACTATTGTTATACTTATTTTGTAAAAATGGTCTTCCATGTAATAAATAAGTAAATAAATAATACAACTATCATACAAAAATGTTATTTTTTAATAAGAAAGGAAAATTACATTTAGTAAACAGATATTATTTATCAATGCATAATAACAAACAATCAATTTCTATGAATTATTTTATCAGATAACAAGTACGGCATATTATCAAATTGCTCTTGTCATTAACTAATGGAGTTTTAATAAATTAATCATCATTTTTAATGATAATGTTTAAGGCAATATTATGTTTAAGTTGATAAAATTTATTTCCCAATGTTTTGCTAATTTAAATTATAATAAAGTTTTTTTGAGATTTATGTATCACTTATTTGTAACCCACATAAAATCATGGTAGTTTTTTTACAAATATATAAATAGGTTCTAAACACTATTGTATATAGTAAATTTGTTGTATAGGAATCTAGGAAGTGATCAACAATGGCAGATGTTGGGTTTCCCGGTCAACACACCACCACAACAACGGTCACATCAAGTACCACCGTACAAACAAACATACGCTTTGACCCATTGTACATACGGACTATTCCTGGCATACTCAAAGTGGTGCAAGTGGTATGTACTTTGGCAATAAACATAGTTGATTTCATATTAATGGTGTTCTGAGCAGTTTAATAAATAAAATAATCCTATATACACCTAAATTAAACTCTACATTGAATAGTTAAATGATAATTGCACAAAATTATTTATATGGTTGTAATTTCACGTACATTTAAGTCATGCAACAGTGACCAGTTTATGTTTCTGTGTTCACAAAAACACATTAAAACCTCCAATTAATAATACATGTGCTTTAATTCTCTATTGTATTTCTAATCATGAGAAACACTTCACATTACTAACAATGCCGCATACTATTAAGATAACATCCCATCTGCTTCAAGTTATATGTTTAAATACGGCAAATTAGTCGTAAATTTTTTGACAAAACTATGCATTGTGTGTATTTGAGAGTACACAAGCAATGATAGTAGATTGTGGTTTATTGTTTGCTAGCATGATCACTACGTTTGAATGGTTTCTAGGCTTGCAGCTTGCTCGGATTCATCTGCATCCAATTCTCGGCGCTGAACAATGCGGGTAAGGGCTCGTACTTCAGTTGGATCTCAATGGTGGCCTTCTGGTTCACCGGCATCCTGCTCGGCTTCTACCTGTTCCATATTGTGGAGAAGTTCTACAAGATCCCCTGGCTCAAGATCGAGTTCGTGTTCTGCTCACTGTGGACCCTGCTGTACTGCATCGCCGCCATCCTAGCCGTCACCGTGAGGGACAACCCCCACTCTGCTGCAGCGGTAAGTACATATTTTCCATAGACTCACATGATAATAATAGAGAAACAAGACTGTTTAGAAACCTTAATCAGCAATAAATAATTATTGGGTAACCATAGCCCACATTTTATAGTCACAAGTACTGTGTCGTTCATAGTCTGCATACTGTAAGTTAGTAAAGTTGTAACATGTGGTGATCAGTTTTTCGGGTTCGTGGCGACGGCCGCGTACGCGATGGACGCGTTCGTGAAGTGGCGCGCGGTGCGGGCGGGCGGCCTCGCCCAGGGCACGCGCGTCGTCTCCAAGCAGACCACCTCCGCCGTCACCACGCCCCCGCCCAGGGAGGGCTACTAGCCGCTCGGTCCCACACAAACTCCTTTCACATTATCTGAGTGCAACAACATGCACGTAGCATTTCTAATAAACACAAACTTTTTTCACTGTTAATAACTATAAGACTAAAATGAATTCGTTTATTTACAAATATTTATATACTAATGTTTTAATGTTATATACAAACTTTTTCATGATATATATATTGGTTTATGATCGACATTACAAATAAAGTGCCTTATAATATATTTTCTTAACAAAATGTGTTTTTATAATACTAAGCATAATTTTTATATGCCGACAATTATTCTGAATGCACAAGGCGACAAAAAGATAAAATAAGTGATAAAGAAATAAATGTTTATACAAATGTAAATCTGCCTCATTAGTATTATTATTTAACATATTCCATTTTATGCTTAATACGAGTGAAAGTTACATTTATTTATACTCTATTTTGTTTGTTTTAAGATCAAATGTGTTTATTGTTATTTACTACAGTTTTTTATTGTTTTTTTTGCTTAATTCAGTTTAATCATGTACTTACTTTTTACTACTTTTTCTATTATTGTTCTGTATTCGTTTTATTTGTAAATCTGTAAATATTTTGAGTTTTTCTTAGAGTTAGGTAAGGATCATACATTGTTACGATGTTTATATACTTTTCTCACATTTATTATTGAATAAGAAAAATATAAAAGGTATGTTTATTTTTGTAATAATATATTAAAGAAAGGACAGCTGTAAGGCAAACATTGAAATATTATTTACATGCAATGCACAAACACTAAAACTTTTATTATAAATTAAATGTTTCATACTTTTTGATATTTAAAAAACAATTAACAGGGTTTTTGGAATGTAATTTTGATACTTTTTTTTACCACTTTCTGTAATTTCTATAAAAATGTTTTTTTTTTCAACTTTGTATAATAGTTTAAATTGAACCAAAGAGACGAATTTACTTTTATTTTATTTGCTCAACTATTCTGATCTGAACATGACATTGTCAGGTGACATACATCTTTGTAATGTTTTAAACATACCCTCTTTATGTTTAGACATTTCTATTATACTTGTGTAACACACAATTTTTATCACAAATATAACATTCACTAAAGCATTTTATTCATTTCATAATAGTGTTTATTTTATATTAACACTATGTATACTCTTTACAATTGACAATTAAAGTAAGTTTTTATATTGTAAGTATAACTAAATTTTGACAAATATTTTAATGTATCCTCATAAGATAAAGTTAATTGAATTTTTAACAATTTATAGTTGTTTTATTGTAATTTTAACAATTTGTGAGCGATCTGAAGTAACACAGATAATATCCAAAACAAGTTGGTATCAAAGGTTTTTTACAAAATGCTTGTGAAATTTGAGTTCAGTTTCCTTAATTTGATTTATATACGCCTCTCTAAATATTATTTTATTTTGTTTAATTTAATTGTAAGTATTAATAATTTAACCATCTCTTCGGTTATTAAGTTTGTAATGTAAATTGTTTAAGTTTTTTTCAAACAACGACTCGACGGCTTCACACTGCCAACAAAAAGAAACCTATAGACATTATTTTTAGGTGGAAAAATCACTTTTCCCAGTTTGTTTCAAATCATCTTAATATAAATTTTTTGACTCTATTTTTTGTTTTAAGACTATTCCTGTCATACTGTGTACCGAGTGGCTATTGATTTGTCTTCTGCATTGTAGTTTTTGTTGTTTAAAGTGCCTTATATAAAAATTTATATTACACTGGCATAAATACTGTTATCAAACATGCACAATGTAACAACTACTTACTATATTTCATAATTAAGCAACAACTAGTCTTACAATTACCACTAAAGATGTACACAAAGTAGAAAAAAATGCATAGATATCGCACTTCTGGATACATTTTTATTGAATGTTATAAATTTCAATATCTCAGCTACAATGTCAACAACATATTTGCATTATTGTTTTTTTTTTAATTAAATTAATAAATCTGTTACTACATATTGTTTTTTTACACCCATTTGCTTTCTATGATCTTCAGCAATTCTATTCAAACATTACTTCTTAAAAAAAAACTCAAGATTGCAGAATCTTTGAATAAAATGTATTTGGTCTTAGTAGTATGTAGGTAGAGAAAAAAAACTGGCAGTTGGAAAATATACACTCGAATGATTTTACCCTGAGTTCAGAAGTGTTTAAAAATAAATAAATAAAACAAATCTTTAATTTAAAATGATTTATCATATAAACAGCGCTGTCTCATTACAAATTAAGTTTTATTGTATCTATTACCCCCGCATGGCCATGGAGGTCGCTCTCGCTATGATGCTTCCTGAGGGTACGTTCCCTGTAGCGGCCATGGCAGCCGCCGCCACACTGCCGGCCACCACACCCGTCGCCACGAAGCCGAGCCGAGCTAGTAGCCACAGCCCCTTGCCGGTGTACACCACGATACCTGCCAACACCTTCACAATACAAGAACAGCAACAATTTCCCATGTTTAACGTATTTCTAACTCTGATCAACGCGTAAACTGCGAACGTACTGCAATTCCAATAAATATAACTGGAAATGTCGACTGCGCATGTCTGTCAAACATTCCTTTCTAAAGTAAAACGGTACTTACCCTACCATAGACGAACAACTTCGACTCCATTTCTACACAATTTATAAACACAAAATTAAAATTAACCAATTACGTTTTTAACAATGCAATGTCTTTACGATGTCAAAATTTCTATTTGATATTAAAATTATTAAATTATAATTGAATAAAAAATCACTACAACGAGGATGCCTTGTATAACTTAGTCTATTATAGAGGGCCAAGAAAAATAGCAACCCTTGTCATATTGCGGAATATCTATGGAACTCGTGACCTCCATAAATGGACCGGCTACAAGACGTAGTATTATGTTCCTCTTGAAGCACGCTATTTTAGCACTGGTGATCGCGGTGTGGACTCGAACTAATAATATATCTAGAATGAATTGTCAATAACATCAACAGGCGCGTTAAGATGGGAATGAAGCAAAAGCAGTAATTTCCAGGTCTCAGATTTCTATCAATGTATAGAACTAAGTTCTTGTGATGGCAACAAGTATTTCCGTATAAAATGTTGCAGTATCAAAGGAAAATGTGGCACCCACGGGACATGGTTTTTACATTTTTGTCAGGCTTTAGCAATGCAAGAGAATTTATTATCAATTGGTATCGATTAAAATTATTGACTTTTGAGAGTATTCCCCTTCTGTCGAATAATGTTCTGTTAATTTCAAGCGTCAATAGCCTAATGGTTCAGGGTACGGATTTCCGATCACGAGGTTGGGGGTCGAATCCCGCCATTCGACTATTGTCGTAAACCATATCCTAGCACAAGCATAGAGCTTAGTTGGAATGGTCAAAGAAATATTAGTAAATTTAGAAAAAAATCTGCTAATATTTAAAAAAAAAAAGAATATAAAAGGAACAAAAAGTTGTTCAATTTTGTGCTCGTGTGAGTATATCTCTGTGACTGGTACGTTTTTCATTAGTTACGAGATTACAGAGATCCATAATACATATACTCTAAATGATAACAATATCTATAACATAAGAAATTAATATTCTATAACTGACGCCCTAAACGTGGATTTTGGTTTGAGCAACTTAGGTAAATTGTTTGGTTCAAACACAAATAATAGAAAGTACTTTTGATAGAATGGTTTTATTTCACAAGTTACAAGTAAAAATAGTCGGTTACATTTTATTAGAAACCGAAAAGAATGTTTACAACGTATGTAGATTGTCGCATCGTATGCAGTTAAAGTTTCAATCTTTTTATTTCTTCCATCTTGAAGTCCGTCCTGAAAACAATAACACGAGACTGGTGGTATTAGAATTTCAAATAATAAAAGGTACGCGGAACAGGTTAGACTAGATTTTATTAAAGGGAGCAAACGCT